TCCGCATAAAAAAGAACCGCATAAAAAGAGACCTAAGTGTATAAGTTGAAATTTTATAAGAAATTATTGAACATTAAAAACATTATACCTACATAGATATGTATGCACATATGTGCCTACCTAGTAGATAAAACTGGTCCAAATAGCACGAATCTATACACATATGTACATATGTATGTATATACATATCTGCATGCGTGCATACAATCCTTTACTCGAAATTCTTAGTTGCTGCAATTTTTATCCCATACATTTTTGCCGACCAAACAACGCGTTTGCCTGTCTAACCTGCTTGCCTCATTTACCTCGCTCGTTTACTCGCCTCGCTCGTCTGCTGCTGCAAATGAGTGCCTCGCTCGCAACGACGCCCTCGCGAGGGCAGAGCTAATGAGGCCCTCGTTTGCTTGCCGCTCTACTCTTGCGCTGCCCTCGTTTGCTTACTCGCTCGCTGGCTGCTCAGCGCGTGCGCTCGTACTTAACGAGTGCTCATTTGCAAACAGCCTCGCGTGTTGCTCGTGTGTTGCGCTAGCTCAGAGCAAACTAACGAGCGAGCGAGGGGCTAAAATGAGGCAAATCCGAACCCTGTGTATGTGTGCACATATCAACGGCTGAGTAGAAGTTCAACCTATCTCGGCTCTATCTCTGAAAATTTTTCAAGAACGCCGTATTTTAAAATTATGGTTGAAGAACGTTCTATCTCAGAATTCGGCTCGGAAACGCCCTATTTCAGCTGCTCAGTTGAGAAAGGGCATTTTTTTAAACAAATTCTGAGATAGAGCGTTCTTCAATTAAATTCTGAAGTAGGGCGTTCTTGAGCGATTTTTTGAGCCTTCGATAGAGCTAGAAAACTATCGATGGCACTATCGATAGTATCAATGGTTTTTGACTATCGATAGTTTTCACTCATATATGCATTATTCAGTAAGAGTAAAAGACGGCGGTACCTGTTTCATCTTGTGAGTCGGAAAGGGCATTTAGCAAAGCAGGGCAAATAATTTCAGAGCGCAGATGCTGCTTGAAACCAAAAATCTTTGAAAAGCTTTTGTTCCTTAACAAAAATATGGGCATATTTTAGCAATTCTGATCTCATTTTCAATAAAAGTTGTTATGTTTAATTTTTGGACTTTTTTAATCGAAACTATCGATAGTACTATCGATAGTGTCGACATTTTCGATAGTATCGATACTATCGATGGTTGTGAATATCGACTATCGAATCTATCGATGGCCACGACTATTGATAGTTTTCCAGCTCTAGCTCTCGAACCGCCTGCCGAGATAGGTCGATATTCCACTCAGCTATCGATATATACCTATGTACATACATTCACATGAACACATTTTCTAATTTCTTATTA